TATATATATATATATATATATATATATATATATATATATATATATATATATATATATATATATATATATATATATATATATATATATATATATATATATATATATATATATATATATATATATATATATATATATATATATATATATATATATATATATATATATATATATATATAATATGTATATATTTGCAGGAGTGAAAACAGTGGAGATAAACAGGAAGCAACAGAAAGTAACTGTAACAGGATTTGTGGAGCAAAGCAAAGTATTGAAGAAGGCAAAATCAACCGGAAAGAAGGCGGAGATATGGCCGTATGTGCCGTATAACTTGGTGGCGCAGCCCTATGCTCCTCAGTCCTATGACAAGAAAGCGCCACCTGGATTTGTCAGAAAATCAGATAATTATTATTATTCACAAAATAATATTAATAATAATACTTCATTAGTTAGTTCCACTAAATTTAATGAGGACCCCTACATTGGTATGTTCAGTGATGACAATCCAAATGCTTGCTCTATCATGTAATAATATAATATTTTATTTTTGTTGTTGTAATAATAAATTAAGATGATGATTAGTTTTGTTTTAGTACCACTAATTAAGTAATTAATGTATGATTATTATCTATATATTTATTCTATTCTAAGCTTTTCTTTTATTGTCTTTTTTAGACTATTTTTTCTCTTTATATTATCAGTCACTTTACAATTTTAATGCTGTATTAGCGATATATTTTTGAATTATACGCTTATTAACTATCCAACACTATTTTTGCAATAATTAGTAAACAAGGGTATTTTGATCTATCAATATCTATTTTTCTAAAATCAAGATATATTTATTAATTGAGATTGTTAAAACTTGTGCCAATGTGAAAAAACGACACATATTTAACTACAGATGGAGTATTTAATTCACTATATGTTTTAAATTAAATAGCTTTATATATTAAGAAAAGTTCATAAATATACATGCATCTGGGAAAAATATACATTATGGCTATAATGCCCTTCCCACTAGTTCTCTATCCTATAATTATTTTTTTGAGTATTAATAATGTATGAACTATTTCATGAATAAGAAGTGCAAATTTGGATTAAAAAATGATCAATTAATTAATATATCATTTACATTTGGGAGTTTGCACCCTTAAACTATAAGGGTGGTAACACTTAACCCTTAAAGTTACAAATATAACACTTACCCCACCTCATTCATGAATTATAAGGTATAACTTTGACTTTGAATGACGT